GGCTTGGGGCTTAGGGCTAACACCCCTGCGCCACCTTGCCCACCACATAGCCGCTCGCCGCGACCGTCGCACCGAACATGTTGGTGACCGCCTCTGCAATTGAGACGCTGCCCCACCACTACTACTACTACTACTANNACAAATACGACGACGACGACGACGACTACGACGACGACTACGACGCGAATTCTCAAATCCCAACCCCCAAGTCACGCTCAAATCTAATGTTCGAGCTTTGCTTACCGATGCAACGAGACCCAAATGAAGCTCATAATCTTCTAATATCTCCGTTCCAAAGAAACCCCAATTCAGGATTTGAGATTAAGGGTTTAGGCCTTCGGGCTCCGGCTTTTTGATTTAATGTAGGGGCCTTAATAATGAGAATAGGGTTTGGGGGCCCAACGTACTATAATTATAGTAAGGAGCCCCCAGAATAGTATTTATTTAGGCCCCTATATTCATGTTTAGGGTTTAGCGGCTTTGCTAGTTCAGGGTTGAACAAACAGTCCCGCAACCTGCTGGTCTTTTTCCCTTGTCTTCCTGCACCCCCAGCAGGGGATCCCATTCGATCTCGGTGCTTCCCGCTTCCACGTAAGCTCGGGCAAGCTCCTGCAGTTTCGGCTGGGCTTTTAAGGCTTCTGACTCTAGGATTTTACTAATATAGGGCGGGGCCTTAATTAGAATAGGGTTTAGGGGTATATGATACTGCGTTTAATTATAATAAGGACCTCCCAAAATAGTATTGGTAATGATTTTACTAGCTTTCCAGGCTTCTTGGGTGGGTTTTCAGGGCGGTCGGAGATCAGGGTTTAGGGCTTAGGGTTTAGGGTTTACGGTTTGGGGTTTAGGGTTTGGGGTTTAGGGCTTGGGGTTTAGAGGGCCTGCGGCTTCAAAGCTTGGGATTTGAGGCTTTGGCGCTCAGCGCTTATCTCACGGAGTTGCACTCAGAAAGTTTGCTTCCCTGATCCTCAACCATTTTTATACCGTAGAAACCTAAACTGCCAAAACATCCTGAAACCCTAAAATCCCCACACCTGAATACCCTGAAGCCCTAACAACGTGATACCCTAAAACCCTGAAACCCAACCTTGAACAAACAGATTCCTGAAACCCTGCACCCTTTAACCCTAAAGCCCACAACCCTAACATCCTATAAACCCTATTCCCTAGCGACGGTCCTCTTGAGCTCGCCGGTCGTGCACCTTCGTCGGCACGCTGATGGGCTCGCCGTCCGGTTCCAAACCTTGGCTGGTCGACTAAAACAAGGGTTTGGGTTTGGAGTTTAAGGGTCAGGGTTTAGGGTTTAGGGTTTGGGGTTCCGGGCTTAGGGTTTGGAGTTTAGGGCGGGTTTGGGGGGACTTGGAGTTTTAGGGGTCTTTGGCTTTAGCGCTTGGGGTGTTCGGGCTTAGGGCTTTGGAGCTTTATAGGGTTTTCGGGTTTAGGGCGGGACTAAGACCTGGAATGTTTGGGTTTCGGCGACCACGCGCCACTGTTCGACGTTTAGGCACTGCAGCTCACGCAGCCTCAGCCCCAAAGGAATATGAATGCAGTGTGGGATGCAACAGCACTGGCGGAGGAGAGTCATATGGGTCTAGGGCTGTTAGGTTTGAGGGCTTTACCGCTTTGATGCGTTAGGACTTCAGAGTTTGGGGTTTCGGTGTTGGGACAGCCCCGTGGGTTGTTGGGAAAGCTTTGGCTTTCTGGTGTGGTGATCTTGAGGTCCGAGTAATTAGGAATATCATGCTGTAAACTTGTTATATCATCTCTTATGGCACATGATACCATGCAACACAAAATAACGAGATAGAACACGGTATCATGCAATAGCAGTAAAGCGTAAGAAATCATGCCACTGACAAGCAAGGAAAATAATCTGCACGGTCGTCGTTTGAATGCACCAAAACCCCAGACAACAAACCCCGAACCTTAACACACCTGAAAAACAGTAAACCAGCTTTAACCAATGACGCCGCGGTTCCCGCAACATCTCCCTCTATGGGCATCTAGTACAAGGGCCTTAATACTTAGAACGGGTTTTGGGGCATACGGTCGTAAAAACTATATCATTCCGACCTCCATATTGCCCCAAACCGGCCCAAGTCTCCGCCCTAAACCCTAAACCCTAAACCCACCCCCCTAGACCCTAATAGCACTCCGGCACCTCGGAGTTCAGCCAAACGCGGGATGGACCGTAGCAGCCGATGGAGCGGCGGCCAACGATCTGCTGGGACCTTGGAATCGCAGGTTTCAAGGATACCTGACACTCATGTAAGGGCCTCAAAAATGTCGAATAGGGTTTTGGGTTATACTCTACTACAATAACGAACCCTCAAAATAGTATAGGTAATTATTTAGGCCCCTGTCGGAAGACCCGTCGGGGTCTCCTCTCGGAGCTCGTGGGTCGCTGAGTTTAGGATTTGCGGCTGTGGGTGAAGGGCGGCTACGTCCGCAGGCTGTATGGGGAGCTTTGAAAGGCTTTAGGGTTCGGGGTGTAGGGTCTAGGAGCTTTGTAAGGCTTCATATTGGTGAGTCTTGTAGGCTTGTCGCCCTCATAAAGACCTATACAAAGTCCCAAACCCAAACACGCAGAGAGGCCCAGACATTCCCGTTATGAAGCAGGGCTTGGTCTTGGATTGCCCGGCGGAGAACTTAGATCTAGGGCTCAGATTTAGGGCTTTAAGGTTTGAGTCGGGTTAAGTTGAGGGTTAAAGTTTAAGGTTGTAGTGGTTGGGGTTGAGTGCTCCTTTCTGACAGGCATGCCCTGGACTTTCCACGGCCGAGGGTGGACCAGTTGCGACGATGGCGCAGGAACTCTTGTGGGACGCCTCTGCGGGCCAAGTAAGACACCCACCGGACGTTGTCCTCGAGCTCGCGAACACAATGGCCGGGGGTTTAGAGGGTCAAGGTTCTAGGCTCTAGGGTTGGGATTAAGGTCTCAAGATCAGGATTCAACAAAGTTCTTGCATGCAACAAGTGGTGTCAACGAGGTTGCCATACAGCGGCCCTTGCGGAAGGTGCGTTGCTTCGGCCCACTTTGATGGATGAAGGGAACCCTAGCTCAGCCGCAAGTCCGGCGTCCTGCATCCTTCTTGCGCCAACCTGCAGTACCCAAAGCCTCAACAGCCTGATGGAAGCATCGAACTGACAGGTAGTACACGCTAATCATTGTACAGAGGATT